ATTGTAAGGCACGGCTCATAGAGCCCTATCTGCAACTTGTCGGCGAGGGACGACATATCCCAGAGGGTGCTGGAGCGGACACAACTGGTATGCGAGCGTATCGAGATTGGACCAGTTATACAGTCTTGTCAACTGAGCATGTGGTCCGGCCACGCGTGAAGAGATCCAAACCCTGATACATTCCCATGAATGAGATGTCTTGACGAGCGCAGGATCTATCCCCGTAGTGGCAAGCCTCGCGACTATCGGGTACATTCAGTGCGGTGCGCTGCATTCCATTTCTGTGCGGAACATATGCACGAGGGGTGTCGTCAGACTCATCACATAGATAGAAGACGATGGGACAAATCTTGTTACAAATGCCCATCGCGCTGCCGTGACCTTCTGTCATTAAGTATTCTTCGTTGCTGTTGCTAGCTAGCTTCTCCACAGAACCCTTCATTCCGGGATGATGCCCGAGGGCGCGAGCGGCGAGGTTGAAGACGAGCTGCTCAAGCTTCGGTGTGTTCCGTGTCAGAGCTTTCTCCTCCGTCGAACAGGAACAATGTTCGAGAGTTCCTTCGGTAACTGCATATGCTTCATATAGGTTCTGCGGGGATCGTAGGGGGTTGTGTCAATGACTAGGCCCATGAGGCAATGACAGTGGGCGAGGGTGGAGTCTCGCTATTCCATCGGTGTCAACGGCCATGGAAGCCCGCGATGCACCTTGGCTCTCGGGCAGTGACAGAAGCAGGGACGACTTTGCCAAATGAACGGCCAGAAACCGAGCCGAACGTATGGTCAAGGAGCCAAGGTACCCGATGTCCACTTCCACCGGTGGTAGCCCATGATGGGAGAATATTCAAAGAAGAGCGACGCAGCGGCAGTCTGCGTTTGTAGGCCAGCGAGGAGTGGTATCTAAGTTCTGTGATTGAGGCTCAGTGCTAGAGGTAGCAAGAGTCGCACCTCCAGAGTCCAGGACCACTGTCACATACCACTACACAGCCCAAAGCCGTTGGCCATGTCCCCGTCATACTCGTAAGGGGCATAGAGGATGGCGGGAGTTGCATGATTGAGGAAACGGTTCACGTTGACTTGTATGTCGTCGTTGTTGTAGCTGAACCCAGTTGCATGTGCGTTCTAGAGGTCCGTGTAGCATGGGCACACGCAGGCTCTATGAAGCATGAGTTATATAGTTCGTCAGGCGCCCATTCGATCGTACGGTGTGGAGGCGGGCGCCTGGGTGGAGGAAGACGTCACGGACACGGTCGAGTCTTGCGAGCAACCGACATCCGAGCTCGCAGCCCGCATGCCAGCAACCTCCTAGCTCGACGTCCATGAACCCCCTCCTGCATCTATGGTTTCCTCATAGACCATGGCCAACACTCCACCTTGGCAACCTTCGCGCTGCACAGCGAACATTGCACGCGACATATCGGCATCGGCTACAGTCTACCAGCGCACACCCTGCTCATGAACAATCACAATCACAATCTTCACGCCGACGTCGACTGAGTAGGTGGGTCGTGTGTCCAACAGCATTGGCAGCGCTCTTCGGGGTCGGCTTCGTAGCATATCACTACAACCAGCCATTCCGGCATACCACTCTCGCCGTAGTGCGATGTTCTAGGGTAGCCGGTAAGCCACGCTGGCCCAAAGAAAATGCGTTGATTGGCTCACGGGTCCGTTAGAGGCCGCAATACTGGGTGCGATAGACTACAAAATCACGTTCGCCAAAAGCTACGACTCCGAAGACGCAGAGCACGAAGCCACCTCGCAATGCCACCGGCGCAGTGCAGAGAGAGTCCTGAGGGCCCTTCTTGCCAATGGAGGCATTTTCATCAAGCTTGGACAGCATATAGCATCTCTGTAAGCCTATGCACGTCTCTCAAAACATGTGTAATATAACAAATGCATAGCGTAGTGCTCCCCGTGGAATGGACAAGCACCATGCGTCCATTGCAGGACAAATGTGAGCCGACACCATACGAAGACATCGAGGAGTTGTTCCTCTCGGACATGCACCATCCCCTACATCGGTACTTCGACGACTTCAACCCGGACCCTATAGGAGTAGCGAGTCTGGCGCAGGTACACATCGCACGGTGGAGGGAAACTGGGGAGTTGGTTGCCGTCAAGGTATGCACATTTCCTAGTGTATAATTTACAATAAGTGTGCTCATATCAGAACAAGCTACAACATCCGCATCTTCAAGAGTTCGCAGAAATTGACATGGAGATGGTCGAGGTTTCGCTTGGTGAGTGTTTGTCGAGGGGTGTTGTATTCACCATTGAATGTGTACAGGATGGATCAAACACTTGTTCCCGGAGTTTGAGTTCACCTGGCTCGGCGAGGAGATGCGAGAGAATCTCCCCAAGGAGATGGACTTCTCCCACGAAGCGCGAAACACTCTTCGTACTGTTGACGAGTTCAAGGGCATTCGGACGTCGTTGTACATACGTATGTGTCACTTTTTTGTTTCGAATCATGTCATGCTCACACACGTTCAGCGAGAATAATCACTGCGGACAAGAGAGTACTCATTATGGAGTTCATCGAAGGTGGACGAGTGGACGACTTGAAGTACCTATCGGATCACAACATCGACAGGAACAAGGTTGCCATAGAGCTAGCACGAATATTTGGGCAGATGGTGCACTTGAATGGGTGGTTCCATGCAGTGTGTGAGGAATCACGGCACACCATATACACCACTGATCTAGTGCCCTAGGATCCTCATCCGGGGAATCTCTTAATTAGGCCAGCACCCCTCTTTTCGAAGTCGCCGTACAACTTCGAAATTGTGCTTCTGGACCACGGCCTATACTTCGACCTAGACAGGGAGCTTCGCATCAACTACAGCAAGTTCTGGCTCTCGCTGATCGCTTCTTCCTCCCCGACCACTGCGGCAGACCGCCGCAAGTACGCCAAGTTGGTCGGAAACATCGATGCCGAGCTGGTACCGTGCTTCCCGCGTGAGGTCAGCTCTGGTGATGCTGACACGTTGTTCAGTACCCTATCTTTGAAGCCGCCCTGACTGGCAGAGCCGCTCTCGATGATGCGTGGACTGACGTCGAAGACCCCCTTGCCAACACGAAAGTCAGGCGTGCGACCAGTATGATCGACCTCACGGCACAGACAGCGAAGGAGATGGAGGCTATCCGACAGGCGGTGGTTGAGAAGGAGGGCCTCCTGTTGTCTGTTTTCGACCTCCTACGGAGGGTCCCGAGGAGGGTCTTGATGGTGCTCAAGCTCAACGAGTTGACGCGGAGCCTGGACCGGGCTCTTGCGACGACCCACTCTAACGTGCGCTTGTTGTTACGGTCGCAGACGCACTCTGTTTTGGCTGATTCGATCTGAACTAGGTGCGCGTGTTCCTTGTGACTGCGAAGTATTGTACCCAAGCCGTATGGGACGATACCCGAGGACAGTTGATCTCGCAGATGCGAGAGCGTGGCTTGATGTCGCTGGGACTGCTCTACGACTACTTCGTCGGGTGGTGGTATGTCGGCCAGTTACCCTTACTGTACGAATGGCTAACTTACTGATCCTTCTGCCAGGGGCTACGAACGCATGTATACAACCCTCGTGGTGACGGAGACGTATATGGACCTACAAGCGTACCTAGTCAAGACGAGGGCGTGGATCTGGGGGCTTTACGCTGTGGGTGGCTTGCAGGGAGCGCACATAGCGGCTGCAGGTTTGGCGTAATGGCATATGAGATTGCCAAGGATGCAGGCGCGTAGGCGCGAATATGACTGGACTTGAATATATTACAGCACGTAGACCATGCAGAGCAAATGCATAACAGTTCAAAACGATCGAAAGCACAGACGCCGGGGCTCACGCCCTGATCTTCTTGAAGAGCGTGTCGATTGCGGACACGTTCGCTTTGAGTTTCTCCCACTATCAAGATGCTATGAGTTGAAGTAAGAGGACACGCCTGGTCAGATGCATACCTCCTCTGGATTGAGAGAAATGCCTTTCCTCCCGGGGTTCTCGTCTCCCTCTTGCCCGTAGTACTCTCGTATGTCCAAAAACGCCTTTCCTAGATTGCCCATTACTGCGCAGAGCGATATGCCAGGCAACGAATGTCCACACCTTTGAATGCACGCACCGTCGCGCGTCGCTTTCTGCCCAGGTCGACATATTTTTCTCCTTCGTTGTTTGTCTTCACTACTACCCCAGATTCTTCCTCACTCTCTGCGGGACTGGCCGTCTTGAACTGTTTAGGTTTCTGTGTGGTACGATTAGATCCTGACGGGGTAAACGCGAGCACGACGCACCTTGGCCTTCACTTCGGATTTCTTCTTGCGTGGTCGTTCTTCATCGCTGTCCAGACCGCCCTTGGATTTGCGTTTCGGGGCGGCCTGAACGACAGTCAGGATGGGAGTCGATCACACAAGGATCCTCGGACGCGCCTTTTTCTTCTGCTTGAGTGGTCGTTCCTCTGCCGAGCTAGCGTCAGACAGGACTGCCTCGGACTCTTCGTCACTCGCTACGGTAGCCTTGCGTTTAGCCATGACTTGCGCAGGAGGGTGAAGCGACGCGTCGAAGCAGTTCACCGTGCACGTGGGCTCGCGGCGCTCGCGCCACCGGTCGCGTTACTGTGGGACATCCGCGTAAACACGTCAGGACTCCCAAGTGGCTCTGCTGCCTCTGCATCATAGTCGACTCTAAATTATACGACTTTGTTGCATGAAGGGGTCACTGCTCGGGTACATTGCTAATGACGTACGACCTTGCACTTTGGAGGATTGATTTAGTACGGACGCGACCATGATGATCCAACATTGAATCACCACTTCCGAGTCGGAAATTGACAACCTCTTCAGCCTCCTCTTCATATTGCTGCGCTGGAAAGTCTGTCTCTTTGTAGTGATTCTGGTTATATATTTGGGGGCGAATGAACTTCGATGTCAAGTCGACACCGCCGTATGGTGAAAGTTGACGGTCCCATGTATATTACACCGAGGAATGCATAGGAGAACAACGGTGCAGCTGAAACATGTATCAGCAAGGCGCTATAGCCAAGTGGTTACGGCGACAGATTAGAATTGAGTCAGTTTCGAGCTGAGTTGAGGTCATCTGTTCCTCTTTGAGGGCAGGAGTTCGAATCTCCTTGGCGTCGTTTTATATCCACCTTCAACGGCTTCAGGTTTGAACCCGCCGGTGTTGGGTTGTATTTCCTTCCTCAGGAAGCAATGGCTACGAAAGCTCGCTTTTTGGACTAAAAGACACTCGGAAGGACTAGCAAGTTCAATACATGCTGCTACTCTCGCTTAAGTTTATCCCGTAGGTCCTCTGTGTCGTGAACATTTTCTACGTTGCAATACACGCACTCAAGGCAAGGTCCGATACACTGCAGTGGTAGGAGTCACGGCTGAAGAACAATCTCACTCTACGGCGGGCATCAGCCTATCCCACGATCAGTGACGCATCAAAATCATAATAAAGGACCCCTGATAATTGTCGAGGCCTGATAGGCCTGATCCCGAGTCGGGGTCGGAGCGCGCGAACTCGCACCTTTTCCAGGTATCAAATGGCCTCTCTCTGGCCATGTGTGCGTGGTCCGGACTGGGAGAAGATGCACTCCTCTAAGTAGTCCTCCTCAGTTAGAACTTTTGGTCTCAACGTTTTTCGTGCTCGCCACCGTCGCTCATACAAGTGTGATTGATGTGTGATGTCATGAGTGATGCCCAGTGATCCCGTCTTCCAGATATTCAAGATATTAATCTTGGAAAGTGTGAAAGCTGAGTTTGAACTCGAAGTTGGGTGGCTACGGCCGTACTAGGTTCGGAACAAGCCGCCTCCTCACGTGGTGGAAACGTGCCATTTCGTGCTCCGCACTCCACCCGGTAACCGGCGGGCCGACGAGGTCGCATTTCGCTTGCAGTCCAAGAGGCCGTTCTTCTCGCGGGCACCCAAACGCGAGCGGAATATCAGCTCGCACATGAACTGCTCGCAAACTAGATTCACCCCGGGTCACAAGCCACACTGCGGTCCACTTACGAGCACTTCGTTGACTGTGTAGTGCTCCGCGACCGAGCGATAGCGTACGCTCACTCGCGGAGTTTTGAATGGATGATCGAGCGCGCATCGGGGTTTGGATCTTACGAGAGCCAAAAGGTCGGGAGCGGGGCGCCCTCCGCCTCCTCAACGTCCTGGCTTGTCCCCTCCTGCCCATCACCTACTTTCGACCAGATAGAGCCTGAAGCCCCCCGTGTTTGTCCCTACGAGTATCAGGTATCCTCACCAGCCTTCATGGCTCCTTCAGAACATCCTGAAGACCCTGAGGGAACAAACATAATGTGGGAACTAGTCGGTAGGCTGTACAGCACAATATCTTGGCGGAGGTTCGAAATGCTCGGTGCAGCTGTCATCAAATATTTCACCCCTAATCTTATTGCCACACCCTATATAAACGGTCTCGATGCTTGAAGCAGGGGTTTTTTCAGCCCTCAGTTGATCTGTGCGAGCCCAGCACCTAAGTTGAAGTACTGGCTAGTAAGTATTTACGCTACCTGCCTATCATCCTGCATCCTGACCAATTCTCCATAGCTTGACTTGTTACATCTGTTCGTCTAAACATCTTCAACTTCTCAAATCTACCTCTCCCACCGCACAATATGCGTACCACCGTTGTTTGTGTCCTTGCTCTCGCAGCCTCTGCCAGGTGTGTGCCATACGCCCTGCCTCGCGTTGATTGTGTTAAAACAGTGTTGCAGCGCCGCGTACAGCTCCAACGAGGATTTGTACGCGCGTGAGTTCGACGAGGAACTGTACGCTCGCGACCTTGAGGCGCGCTGGGGCAGGAAAGTTGTAGAACCACCCCCTAGGAAGAGCAACGGCGTTCTTAACGGTCTTGGTCTCGTCGTCGGCGCGGCCGTGGCTGCTCAGGGCCTAAACGCCGCCATCGAGAAGTATCGCGGGCGGTATGCGACGCGGTATGTTCAATTCACCCACGCTTGGTAGTGTTTTCCGTGCTGAGCGGGCATACAGCTCCGACGAGGACCTCTACAGGCGCAACTTCAACGAGGATCTGTACGAGCGTGACCTCGACGCGGAGCTCGAGGCCCGGAACCTCGGCGGCCTAATTGGCCACGCTAGCAGCCTTGCCAGCGTAGCCCAGGCTGTTGCGGCTTTCCGCCAGCGGTATGTCCCAAGCAGCCTTGGCAGTATTCACCGTGCTAAATGCGAGCAATGTTCATAGATCCGACGACGACCTCTGGGCTCGCGCATTTGGCGAGTACGATCAGCTCGACTGAAGGGCAAAATTGTTCGAGTCCCCTTGCCGGGAGGTGTATTTAAATGACATGATGACAGTCGAATGTAGCGCTGAGGGCTCAACTTATTGATCAACTTAAAGTTTCGTATTTGTGTGTATGAGGAACAGTGTGAGGTAGACAGTCTTTGAGCTTGACGGATATGAATGGTCTACTAGTTGGCCATCTGAGTCGTCTTGATAGTTTCGATGTAACTGACTACATGAGGAGCGATGACGGATTCCTTTTGACACAGCGACGAGGGATCTCTTTTGTGGTATACTGTAGTGCTTTGCCGGCTCGAGCAACCTAGCGAACAGTCATGACCGCTGTCCTGAACGTCATATTTTCGGTCTGCCTAAGCCTAAAAGACAAGCACGACGCGAACCTACGGCTTGTTCATGCGTATGTTGAACGGAGAGCATACTGAACGCGTAGACATTCCGAATGTTTTTGTGAAAAGAAAAAGGATAGCCGACGCCAAGGAGATTCGAACTCCTGCCCTCAAAGAGGAACAGATACCACTTGAATTAGGTTCAATTCTAATCTGTCGCCGTAACCACTTGGCTATAGCGCCTTATTTTGGGAGCGACCAAACACAATTATTGAGAAGATTAGTGTCTAGGGCAGAGCTCAAGAGCTGCTCGCTTGAGTTCGCAATTCATTCCGCTCAAAACCATGCTATGCCAGTATACGAAGTTAGAGTACATTACAGCCACCGTCATGGCATTTCCAGGTATGTTTCTGTCTGCAGGTTGATAATAAATATATCGTGAGGTCATCAAGTAAGCTCGTAAAACATGGGGATTGACATCAATATCAATAGACTGCTGCACTGCGCCAAACCTTCACGCCCGACTCCACTTCGGCCATCTGCCCGTCCACTTGTTCTTTCTGCCAGGAGCGGGCAGGCGCGCACTCATGGGAGGGTTCACATCTAGTGCGCTGAGTGGCGGGCCCTGCTGGCTCGGAAAGGTCGCGCTGCGTGGCGTGCCAAGGTACTGGCGGTAGGCGGGAGAGCGGGCACTCGGGAATGGCTCGTCATCGCTGTCCGACTCGGTATAGTCTGTGCTGGGGCTCGGTTCGGCTGGGTAAGAGGAGAGCAATGGGCTACGGCAGCGGTACTGCGACAAAGGCCGTGCGGTCTCAACCTTGTATGGGTTTGTAGAGCTCGGGGCGGCCGCGCTGATTGGCGGAATCGTGGGGTCGGTGTACGCGTCGCGGGCCATCTGTACGGGAGTCGGGACACGGCTTTCGTAAACCTCGCGGGCGCTTCGGAGGGGGCTCGCGGCATGGGGGTGAGACAAGAAGGCGCTCCGGAGTGGGGTCGCCGCGGGCAGCTCGTCGAAGTGGCGGACGATCTCCTCCTCGAAGTGAAGGCCACGATTAGGTTCCGGAATAGAGAAGTCTTGCTCGGGTTGCTCCGCTGCATACTCTTCTTGGGCATGGCGGCTACGTGCTGACGCAGCAGCTTCGTCGGCAAAGCGAGTGGTCGCGCCAGTTCGAATAGGGGACCCGACGAATCGTGCACTCCCTGGCATAGGGCTACCGTAAGCAGTATATGCCGAAGGAGGAAGGGGTGGAAGGTCGTTCGGGTATACTTCACTCTCTCTATGGTGGTCAGATACACGCGTACCACGAGAGCTACCGAGAGCCGCCTCATCCATGAAACCAAAGTGATGAGGTGAATGAGGCATGAGGCCGGGTGGCGAATCGGGGCCTTCGTACCCGGGCTGTAGGTGGATGCGATCGATGACTTCGCCCTGGACACGGATCGTCACTTCGTTGCTATCGTCGTCCGATTCGTCGGGGCTATTTGCACTTTTGAAAGGACAGTCATCCAGAGTAGCTCCATCGTCTTTGATAACATCGTCCGCTTTTTCGAGGTCAGCGTTGAGGTCGATGTCGATCGCGGGGTAAGGGCTAAGAGTACGTTGCACATTGTTGCTGCGGGCCTTCCGACGCCAGAAATAGAGGGAGTAGCCTCGAGGTATGACGCTGTGCTCAGGTAGCACACGACGTGTCAGAAGAAAGAGGAGGACATCCACCAAGCCTAAAACGCTCTAGCCAGTCAATGATACACATCAGGGAGCACGCGATGGACAACATACCACACATCAGAAACACCGTGTCGGCGAACGAACTTACGGCATCTGGTACAGCAGTCCCAGACCAAGCCACGAAACGCACGACTGCATTGGGGAATATGAGAATAGTGAAGGCGATCTATGACGAGTCACGCATTCAAATGGGTAATGTCCAAGGAGTAGCTTATGACTTACAGGATAAATTAGCATCTGCCTAGCAATTGCTACACTGTCCTCGTCGATCATCTTCACGATTCTGGAGTCGCGTCGGAAATGGATTCCAGACGTAGTAACGTTGCCCCGCATGTTCAGAAAGACTAGGCCGTACAGCAGGAACCCCAAACCTGAACCCAAGAAGAGCTTCGGATGCATGTTAGTGGACAAAGCGGCGACGAACGTTGTCTTACGCACCCACATCAAATCCAATGTCACTCTCTCATCCCCATAGGTAGTCGAAATCCAGCAATAGTAACCGTTGATGCCATCTGAAATCTCTGGTAGTCAATACCTGAGAGAAGTGGGAAGACATACTGCACTCACAGAAGGAACCTTTGTTGGCAATGTAACCGGCTGGTCCTATGATGACAATGACGAGAACAAGAAGCCATCCAGTGCAAAGCATCACAAATAGAGAACGTTTTCGCATGCTCCAACGTAGGAAGACAACGAGAAACGTATGCAAAGCAATCATTACGGTCCTGTAGGGCTCCGTTAAGCACATAGGCGCTAATATAGAACCCATAACGCACCAGACTGCCATAGATACATCTGCGGACTGTTTGAGAAATCCCTGATACGTGCAATACGATCCCGTTGTCACCGCTCCCGCCGTAAGCCACTGCACGCTAAGCATGGACGCAAATGCTGCAGCGGCGACATTAGACCGTCCGCCAGTACAACACCGAAACGCAGCGCACCTTGCATTAAGTCGCACCACAACAACGACACGAAGTACGCAGCAACATGACTGCGTACGAACAGATGTGGGTTGACTGACTTGCGTGTGTTCCATGCAGAGATCTGGAGTTGACTACTTGAGTCGTACATCGCTTCCACGGAGACGGGATACGCACCGCGAGTGCCGTTAGTAACATTGTGACTGCCGTCGCCGAAATCCATGCGAAGGCGACTTCGACGGCCAAGCCGCGTGCCTCGGCCGCAGTGTATTGAACCTTGGTCAAAACCCAGTTGTCCCCGCCAGGGATCTTTTGTAGCGTAGCCATCCTGATGACCGTCCAAGATTCTGGGAGAAATACGAGCTAGAGATGAGACTAAAAGCCGTATGTTCAGGTGCACCAGGTCCTGAAAAACGGCAGGGGGGCCAGCCTCCGAAGAAGAAGAAAAGGAGGAAGAGAGGGAGGGCTTTGGGACGTAGACGTCGCGAAGGGCATTGGCAGTGTCGGTTGCCTGCTTATGTACGGAGCGGCATGATGCCTCTGTGATCGCCTCTGATCCGGTCAACTCGCCGTTTCATCTCCTCCGCCCGATCGCGTGGCAGTGTGTATCTTCCTTCTTGGGTAGCTGCGCATGCACCGTCATCCGTAGAAGCCTAGCACAGGCTGAGCAGATATTGCGAGCACAGAGGGAAACAATTATTAGAACTCTAAAGGTACAAAGACCGAGCCGAATTACTCGTACTACATACTCAACATATTTATTATCTATGGTGCCACCGTCGGCGTGAGGCTACCTCTCATCGACCTTGAATTAGACACCCTCAATGACCTCCACCCACTTTCTGATATTGAGGTTGCCGACATCGCTCCTCCTGTCATGGAACCGCAAGTGCTCGGGCGACACGGAATGCTCAACGAGAACGATACTCTCATGCGTCGTGCCCCGTTTGACGCGGAACTGCAGCAGCGAGCGGTTGACGATTGTAGTGGTCATCGCCCAAACGAAGCTGTTAACAGCCATAGTCAATGGCTGCATAGTGATACGGTAGAACGCGAAGCAACGTACAACACGCCGAGGAGGGTAAAAGAGGGCCGCGATATGCTGAGACCGGAGAGTATAACGTTGAATAAACGGAGTAGAGACACGGCCTGCACGGACTGTTAGCGCAATCGCCGCTACTAGTTCAGATGTGTACTCACGGCGAAGTAGAGAATTCCATCACTGTGCAGTGCCTTCGTGAGTGGCGTTTGTGCCGAGGTCGGCCTGTCAAGCGCGTTCCAGGACGTGGAGATTAAGACAAACAACTCAAACAACATCTGTAAGGGCTCTTAGCAAGTGTTGACCATCCAACGATAAGGTGTGCTCACCGGCGATGCCCATACAGCAACAATAAGGCGAGAACTGTAAGCAGCCACACACGTGCCCGCTGCGGAAGACCAGGCTACTCCCGCTAAAGACAGTATACATGAATTCCTGGGTAAAGAGATGAATGTGCGTGTAGTCACTCACGCAAAATCTTAATGAGCGTGATGATAATAGTTACTGCCTGAGTGACAAAACTCGTGATGTAGGCGGCCACCATCAGCTTTAACACTACCTAGAAGACAAGTTAGATGCAGGGATGTCTGAACAGAGGCTTCCAGGCTTACTGGATGTTCGTCCCATAAGATGACGACGCGCAGCAGTACCAGCATATTTGCTATACCGATCGAAATGACTGCAAGCATGGATACGGTGAAAATGAAATGTTTGCATCTGGGGTAGATTCAGACTTCTGGTCATGACAAGAAGGGAAGCAACGCACCCCTGAGGATTAATCAGCAAACGCATCGCAGGCGTTGAAATGTATGGGTACACACCGTGTCTGTAAACAAGTCTCCGACGAAACCGCAGAGTGCTACACCCAATTTCTCTGTCAGCTTTGCCGATACGTGTAAGAGGTTCCTAGTACACACCACATGCCACACACAAGAGCGTCGCCAATACGAGATACCGATTGAAAAGGAAGGCATACTTGGTGAGTGAGCGCGGGGCGAACCAGACCAGGCGGACTTCCTCCCCAAAAGTCAACGCATGGTCGTATAAGAGCACCACCAACCCAACCGCTATGATTCCACCGCAATCAACAAGAGAGATACCGGAGAGCAGGAAAAACTCGCACCTTCGAGGTACCTCGTTGCGTACACGGCGTGGAGCGTGGAAACATCCATCGCAGACTGGACAAGCTCAAACTAGGATGCCCGTGCCAGGTCCCGACACCAAGTCACTTAGTGCACCGGGAACACACAGTGTGCTGAGGCTTGAGGGGGGGAGGTCAGAAACCCCGCATCGCATATTTAACGAGTGCGTTCGCCCACAGAGGATGTTGATCTGGTAGAATGTTTGGGCGCATCCTGTCAAGGGGTATCTCGATGGCCCCAGTATGGTGACTCGTATCGGCCGGTCAATTGTGCCGGTGATCAACGACCCACGATGATATTCCAGTGGTGGAGCCCTGCCCCTGGGTCGGGAGTCGACAAAGCCATATCTTTGGGCACGCTAGAGATAGTGAACTTGCTGGACCGCCTCAGGAAGTATAGCTTGGACTTCTGCG